GCGCCCCGCCCGCCCCCTGCCCGGCGTCGCTCACGGGCTCCCCCTGGCGGGCCGGCGCCCTACGCGCAGCCACCGCGCCCCCCGTCCTGCCCCGGCTCCGTCACCGCCCCCGGCCCGCCCGTACCTGGTAGTACCCGAACTGCCCCTGCTGCCGCCGCCTCCTCACGCAGTAGTAGGCGGCACCGGCACCGGCAACCAGCACCAGCGCGAAGCACAGCGCTGACAGCGTCCCGGTGGCCACGGAGCCCGGCCCCTGCGCCGCACCGTTCACCTGTGCCGAAACACGGTCCCCTCGCGGCGCTGCCCCGGCCCTGCTGCTGCTCCGCAGCGGGACCGTGGGCAGCCCTCCCAAAATGAGCCGTGCCGGAGAGCAGAGGACAAGGCCAGCTCTCGGGATGACTCTGTCGCCTCATCCCCAGTCCCAGGCCTGATTCCAGCCCTGTTCAAGCCCCAGACTCACCTGGCCAAGCTGAACGGGCGGTGGGATCCTCAGTGGCTCTGCTATCACATGAATGATGCCATTGAAAGCTACGATGTCCCACTCCACAATCATTGTGTCATTGATCCCCTTGGCATCCTACAGCACAGGACACAGATGATGTCACCTTCCCAGAAAGGCTCCTCATCATTCCCTGTCTCAAAAGAGACATGGTGAAAACTTGTGGTGTTTTTTGCCCTCTGCCAAGGCTAAACCTACTGAGTGCTTTGTACTGTTGTTTGCTGGGAGCTCTGATACATGGAGGTTGTATCCTGACTGGGACGGGATGATGGTGCCCGTTGTGAAGTTGAAGCTGAAGAGGATGACATTGCTGGATGACACGTGGAGCTTCAGTTCTTCTCCTGTCAGTGTCTGAATAAGCACCAGTGCGCAGGGGTGAGAAATGGATGAGCTGGTCTCTCCCTTTCCCTGCTTCTGTGCAGCCCCCCAGCCAAGCCCAAGCTCTCTCCATGGCCACAGACAGCTCCATTCATGGATAACATGGCAGAGAATGACTGTGCAGAGCAGAGGGGATTTGCCACCCTTAGGATTGGCAAAGCTCAGCTGGAGAAGGTTCTAAGCATCGTGACCTAAATGGCTCTTCTGAGGGAATGGCTGGACTGGAGACCTCCAATCCAGTGGTCCCCTCTGACCCATACTCCTCCTCCTTCATGCCAGTTTTGGTGACACCTGCTCTCCTCTGGGACTCTGATAGTTCATCCCTGCTTGCTTACCTCGTTGTCTGCAAAGCCAGAATTCAGAGGGGCAAAGAGAGTTTTGGGAGCAGAAACATCAGACAAATACATGAAAAAATCCAGTCCATCTTCTGTGTCATTGGCAAAATTGAGCAGCATCTGGAAGAAATGAGAGATCTTCCCCATCAGCACATTGCTGGCAGCACAATGCCATCATCTTCCCCAGCCCTGGAAAGAAACCCCCTCCATGTCTGTAGCCTCTCCCTTGCAGACACACCAAGCCCCAACTCTTCCCTGTTCCAGCTGATCCCTCCCTCTGCCTTGCTGCTCCTGCAGAGCCAGGAGAGCGTTGCTTACGGAGTAGAAGGTGGAGAAGCGGTCCTGGTCTGCGAGCACGTCAGGCAGTTTCCCACTGCACCAGTACCCATCTCCCACAAACCCATCACGGCAGGTGCAGGTCACATCTGCAAAGGAACACCAGGCTGTGACTGGACTCACCAGTGCTGGCTGCACCAAGCACCTTTTGATTTCTGGATACTCTCACGTTCCCTCTGGACATGGCCATGGGGAGAGGGGGTGTGCCCACCTGCCCTCATGCCCCAGGGCAGTTCCCTGCCTGCTGCCCTGACGCAGCTCTTGTGCCCAGCAGGACTGTGCCCAGGGAAAGTGCTGGAACCCCTCACCCTTCTCCCGGTAGCAGAACGCGTCCCAGGTCTCGCTCAGGTTGCTTCGGGAGCCGTAGTCCACAATGCCCACACGGCTGGACCCACAGCTGGGGTTGGGGTAGGCTGTGGGGTATCCAGCTGTGCCATTGTCCAGCCAACCCACCAAGCACAGATGGAATCCCATCTAGAAGAGCAAAATCAATGATTAGATTAAAAATAGCTCTGTGTCAGGTTTTCCGCCCCAATGAACATTCCCACTGTGCCTCATCCACCGTACCCCTAACAGCCAAAGTGCTGGGCACAGTCACAAGTCCCATCCCAGTGTGCCTGGCAAGACCCAGCAGCTCTCCTGTTTAATGGATGTGGATGGAGCAAACAGGGTCTGGCTGAGGGGTTGAGAGGTCACCCACCCACATGTCACCCCTGGGCCCTGGGAGATGCATGGCCTGTCCCTGCCCCACAGGGGACAGAGCCACCCCTGCCGCCACCCCTGCCCTGACCTGCTGTGCTGCTGCCAGCTGCTGGAATGTGGCCAGGGAAGCACCTTCTGCAGCACAGGCTGCCTGAGCCTGCTCGTAGGTGAAGTCGTACTTTTTTCGGGGTGACTGCAGGTGAAACACACCCATGGTCTTATCTGCAAAACAGCAGAGCCCAGGAGCATCAGTACAGGACACACTGAGCCACCTCCCTGTGCAGCCGCGTGGGTCCCTGTGTGACCGTGGGCAGCACTCCAAGGATGGGATGTGGACAAGGCACAAGTGAGGGACAGGCTTCCTCTGAGCTTCTCGCCTTCCACACGGGAGCCACTGCCACCAGAGGCCATGTCACATGGAGCAGACAAGGCTGGCTCACCCTCCCCATATGACATGTAGGGAAAAGGAAAATGTGAAAACTGTGCCAAGCTACAGAGATGTAGCTGTCCCTGTCCCCTTGGCCATCCCACCCTCCAGCTCTCCTGAGGGGAGCTCCAGGCCAAAAGTGAAGGATGAGGGAATGTGGCCTCTCCATGGAACATCATCCCAGGCCCTGCGGGGTTGAGCACACTCACCGTGGAAGTGCAGGTCAGTGCAGGTGGCCTCCCGATGGCACTGCCCGTTGTCTTCCAGGCACCGGTCCGTGGGGGGCACGACCTCTTCCAGGCACTGGATCCCATCGCCGACGTAGCCCTGCTTGCACTCGCAGCGCCGCTCGTTCTGCAGCACAAGGGAAGGGTGGCAATTTTGTGAGTGCAAACACACAGATGCCAGCTGGGGATCCTTCCATCCCTAAGGGGGTTAGCCTTCAGAATGCCTCTGCAGCCTGCTCAGGCTGTGACAGAGCTGTGGAAGGCCACATGGCCTGTCCTACCCCCAGGCAATGTCACATCGAGTCTTTGGCACGTGCTGTTTGTTTGAGCTGAGCTTTGAGGCATGTGGCTCCTGACTCTGGTGCTACACCATGCTCCCAATCCCTTCTTATGGCCTGTGGTGTTCAACTTTGGTTCTTCTGCAAAAATGGCCAGCATTGTCCTTGGAGGACCATCCAGGAGCCCCCAAACCAGCCCAGGAATGACACAACTGACAGTTGTAGGGGCCGCGCTCACCGGGCCGGTGCTGATGCAGCGGGCGTGCTCGCTGCAGTCCCCGTTCCTGCCGTCGGCACAGCGGTCGATGGGCTCGCAGATGTAGCCGTCCCCTCGGTAGCCGGGGGCGCAGGTGCAGGACACGTTCACACCCATTTGGGAGCACTGTGCGTGCCTGGCACAGCCCCCGTTGTCCTGGCTGCACATGTCGATCACTGCAGGAGGAAGTCCTGGGTTAACTAAACCATCTCTTGAGGTGTCCCGGGGGTCAGCCTGGCTGTCCTGCCAGCTGTCACCCCAACATGGCCATCGGCAGATGGTCACCTGCTGTCCTGCCGCCGCCCCTGCAGCCCAGCGCCCGTGGCCGCCGTACCTGAGCAGGTTCTCCCGTCCCCCTCGTAGTGCAGGTCGCACTCGCAGAGGTTGCCGGCGCGGCAGGCGGCCTGGGCGTGGCACGGGGGAGAGCAGGTGGGTGTCACCACTGAAACCAGAACACACCCGGCTTATAGTGACTGCAGGGCTGTGATACGGGCACGGCTGCCAC